AGGATTGACCTCTTCCGTGCTGAACTTCAATCAACATTCACAATTGTAGAAAGAATCAGACTATATCATAGAACCTAATTTTGTAATTTTTTTCTCTTTTTACTTCGTTGTACGAAGTAAAAAGGAAGTATTGTAATCGCGAAAAGTTTTAGGCAGCATATTTCAACGAAAATATCCATTTTGACTGCTATCGAATGCAATTTAACGATGTTTTTGCGTGCTATCTGTACGTAAGGACAGAATAAAGGACTCTTTTTTCCCTAAAAAATTATACAACTGATTTAAAATGAAATCTGTAGAGAATTTTTCCCTTGGCGCCTGTACGTACGTATGTATGTATACGTATCTCGCGTAACTCAAAAACGAGTAGCCCTCAGAACGTTGAAAGTTTTGTGATATAGGATTACTGCATAACATGTAGATGTTTACCTCTTATTTTGGTTGCATTTCGGTTGCACCAAAACGTATATAAATATATTTAAGCTTGCAGGCCCAGCCCGTATGTTATTGTATATTTAGGACTAATAGCAAACCGCTATTTATTTTTATTTTTATTTTTATTTTTGTTTGATTTTAGATGTCATCGGAATAGTTTTTACATATTTTAACACCTTAATGTGTCATTTTGTGCGGACGCGTCGGGAAATTGGAACAGAGAATTGAGACTCATAAATTCTCCAAGACACTTTGTCTAATTAAAAAATTTTGTAGCGAAAAAGGTTCAATTATCTGTTTCGGCGAAACGCGTAATGGAGTTAGCTTGATTCGACGTTCAATCAGATATTTCCCTTGAAAAGCCAGATTGGAAGTCGAAATCGGCTAATTTACCACTATTTTTGTCTATTTTTGTCTGATTTTGTTTGTTTTATGTTTTAACTTGTTCCTTGTTTTGATTTTCATATGTTTTAATTTTTCAAGTGTCACATCCATAGGTATTTTACTGTATTTTTTGCCATTACTAGTTTCCAACGCTAAGTATTTTGCTGTGTTTATTTTCTTTTCTCGTGTAGCATAATTTCTCACCCTTCAGTGACATTGTTTTTTAAAATGTGTTGGAACTTTTTGGAGCCACAGCTCCTGGTAAATTTTAGGCGAGCTTACTACAATTTCTAATTTACTTATTTTGCAGCATATTGCGCAAAATGTTATCTAGACCAAATTGGTCATACAGTATTGTACTAACTACCTTGCTTGTTATAATATATTTATATATATATCCACTCTATTACCCGGCTCAGTGATCTCAGTTTCTTTACTCTTATATGTTTGTAAATTGTACATTTTTGCTTTAAAAATGATTGAATTAGTTGTTTTTTATCTTTCGGTTAAGGATTTTATGCCTTTAGTAAATCTGTGTGCAATATTTTTAGAATTATCAGCAATTTTAAAGTTGTTTAATTGCCGCTAAGCCTGTTTTTAATGGCGGCCATTGATATTTACATTTGAAACAGGAGACTAGTGGATTTGTTGCCAATTTAGAGAAACTTAGCTTCGCAACAACAAAGATAACGCCTTCATTTATTATTGCCAATTAAATCGTGCTTAATTCTTTCAGTAATTTTTTCGAGGAAATAAGCGTTTGAGATCTAATTCGTAATTTTTAATATAGATATTTTGAGTTTTTATGTATTTTTGCCTTCTCGCGAAGTGAGAACTGAATTAATTGAATGAGAAATACTCAATCGTCTGTGAAAAACTGTTTCTTTTTTTTCTTTTGTTTTTGCTTAATTTTCTTTAACATCGTTCTAAGCTTATTATTAGTATTTGAATAGAACATGTGGCAACGATTAGATAATTCTTTAAATGATATACATTTTGCGCATTCTGAGTTATAATATGAAAGAAATATAATACTGTTAAGTCAACCTAGCGCTAGAGTGTCGCTATGGTAAACAAAGTGAATTTTAAAGAATGCATTTATTTTATTGTGGTTTATGCGCTGTCGGCGAAGTCGGTTTAATTCAATCTAATAAGTTTAAAGAAAATGCAAGAAAAAATGCGTATAATTTAATATTCCGTACAAGGAAGTCATGTGGTGTACACATCAGATTTTTTTTATCTAGAAGTCTTACTTCGGGTTTTAAAAGGGAGAAATTGATGAACTATACAAAATTTGTACGGCGGAATCTGAGAAATTCTCTTGCGATGTCAGAAGTATCTAGAAGCTATTATTGCTTCACAACTCCTTTAAGCATATCGATTTCTTTTGATAGAGCGTTCTGAATTTAATGCATTTTCATGTGTAGACAGCCCACCAAAACATGCATTGGAGAGGTAAAAAAACTGCTATAAGAAAGATTACGTATGCAAACACCAGAGATATAGAACCAATCATAGTAAAGCATGGCGGTTGGCAGCGTCTATATAAGATAACATGTGTCTGGCTAAGTTGTTAGATCGGTTACTGCTGCTACAATGGCAGGCTCACAAGACGCATGTGAGTTTAAACGTGGTGTTATACTCGGCGCAACAGAATAGAACATAGCATCTTCAAAATAGCGATAAAATTTGCATTTTCGCGCCATTTTACGAGTGTACCGTCAATATCGGCAGTCCGGCAAAACATCAAATCTCCGACATCGCTGAAGCCGGGAAAAGCTCGTGAAATGCGACGGAGGACGCGGGCACCACCCCTCTACCAATACGGTTAATCGGTATAGCGCCACGTCCACCTTATCTAGATAACCATACGTGTTCATTGTGCTAATATACTAATATTGTATAAACATACATACAAAATTCAGTATTTCATACAGTGGCGTTAAAGCTAATTAATGTTAGACACTGGATAATACATTGCCATGTTACAAGGTGTATGCAAAAGCATGGATACGGTAGCATATATACATAACGTGTGTACTCATATGTTGAGTACTCTATGATCGTTTGAAGCATTATCATTAGATTACAGAAGACATGTACATACTGAAATATTAGGCGCGCAATGTTACGCTGGAATAAGTAATTAGTACAGTGAATCAAAATTTAGACCCTAGATTAGTACTGTGTGGTACAGTGTCTTGCTACTGAATTATTTGTACTGTTTCCTAAGTACATTAACCAATGTACAAAGATATTAAAACATGTGTAATAGGTACACAGTAATTAGTGGATACCCAAGCGTTAGGTAAGTGCTACTTTCACATACATTAACAATAGGTACTTAATACAATGCTGAACAGATAATTGGTGCAATTAATTTTAGAGTGGGGCTCTAGTTAGTTCTTTGCCATACGGTGCCGCGTTACAGGATAAAATGCGCAGATGCATAGTTACATTATCATATATACAGAACATAAATTCATATACATATATACAGACATTGTATACAGAACATAAATTCACATACATATATACAGACATTTTGTATACAGAGCATAAATTCATATACATATATAAAGACATTTTGTATACAGAACATATATTCATATACATATATACAGACATTTTGTGTACAGACACATTAGGTACATGATTATTCAGTGCGTAATAGATGTATATTAACTATACAGAGCCAAGATATGTGATAACACTAGTAGATACATGGGTACAATTACATATAAACAAGGACATACACAATTACATATAGACAAAAGCGTATATACGCTTATATTTGGTACATAATAGTCATTGGTGACATAAACATTTGGTACTTACTTCATATACTTACAAAAACTCTAGATCCATAAAATAATGTTGTAACTAGTATTAGGTGCTTATTAATTTCATAATAGGACACTAGGTTGATATTTTTGCCTTACTGTGTCACGTTACGTAGAAATGTATGCGGGTGCATGGGTACAGCTTCTTATTTACAATGCTATACCGTTTTCCTATTTACAATGCTATACCTATTTACAATGCTTATATCATTCGATTTCATAATCAATAGATACATGGCACATTTAGATACATGAGCAGATAGTACATTGTAGAGTGTCGTTGAGGCCATCATTGATATGGGATTTCGGAGCCGAAGGCCCACTCGTGTACCGTTATTGACTGCACGACACAAAGCTTCTCGCCTCGCTTGGGCCGGCCCTCAAACAACGCCATTGGACTACTGACGACTGGAAACGCGTTGCCTGGCCTGATGACTTCCGTTTCTAATTGTATCAGGTGGATTGACGTATGGAGAAAACCTCATGAATTCATGGGCTCATCATGCCAACAGGGGACTATTGCAGCTGGTGGAAGCTTTGTCATGGTATCGGACTTGTGCAGTTGGAGTGATATACGACACCCGTTACCCGTTACGACTCTGTCTGGTGCCAAATATGTAAGCATCCTGTTCGATCAGCTGCGCCCATTCATGTCCATTGTGCATTCCGACGGACTTGGACATTTCCCGCAGGACAGTGCGACACTCCACACATCGAGAGTTGCTACCGAGTAAATCCAGGAACACACTTCTGACTTTAGACACACCACTTGTAGATCCCAGACATGAACATGACTCAGCATATCATTGTGCATTCCGACAGACTGTAGACACACCACTGTAGACACACCACTTGTAGATCCCAGACATGAACATGACTCAGCATATCATTGTGCATTCCGACAGACTTGCACATTTCCAGCAGGACAGTGCGACACTCCACACATCGAGAGTTGCTACCGAGTAAATCCAGGAACACCCTTCTGACTTTAGACACACCACTTGTAGATCCCAGACATGAACATGATTCAGCATATCATTGTGCATTCCGACGGACTTGGACATTTCCAGCAGAACAGTGCGACACTCCACACATCGAGAGCTGCTACCGAGTAAATCCAGGAACACACTTTTGACTTTAGACACACCACTTGTAGATCCCAGACATGAACATGACTCAGCATATCATTGTGCATTCCGACGGACTTGGACATTTCCAGCAGGACAGTGCGACACTCCACACATCGAGAGTTGCTACCGAGTCAATCCAGGCACACCCTTCTGACTTTAGACACACCACTTGTAGATCCCAGACATGAACATGACTCAGCATATCTGAATGCCCTTGCAATATGCTGTTCAGAAGAGATCTCATCCACCTCCCATTCCTATGGATTTGTGGCTTGCCCTGCAAGATGTTTGGTGTGAGTTATCTAAAACACACCTTCACACATTTCTCGAGTCCATGTTGCGGCACTTCTGCGTGCTGGCTGGGACCACACGATATTAGTCAAATGTAGCATTTTTTTTTGGCTTTTCAGTATATTTAGCAGATATTAATAAAAAATCATAGAATTGATTAGACTATAAATAACATTTTTGACTCAAACGTTTTCAAACCATTTTCTTATAATTTAACAAAGTTTCTTTTGACAGTTTTTTAAAATAGAATGCTGTTTTCAGACAAATTTTAAAATTTGTTATTGTGGTCTGAATGTAAGGTGTATTGCTTCACTTAACGTATAAAATTCTGTACAACAAATGACCACAAAAAATTTCTGTACACATGCCTTGGAAACTGATGGAAAATATAAAATTATCGGAAGAGGTGAGATTGAAGAGACAATAAGAATTACCAAAATTGTTTTACTGTAGGATAGTACAAAAGTATTTCATACTTCCTAATCATACTCTGTTTTAGTGGATGATCTTACAATCTAGAACTCGGGGTATTTTCTTTTATCTTTTCTGGGGCCCACAGTCAAGAAGTATATGACTAATGGTTTCATTTTGAAACAGGAGTTTATAATGATTGATATCTCCGTGCCATAGAAAAGAACATCGTCTTGTAAAAAACGCACCGAAAATTGCACTCGAGTGTGTTCTTTTGTTAAGTGATGAAGATTAGATGATTCTTTTGATATCAGAGATTGCCATTTCTTTTTTATTATCAGTCTTCTTACATTTCGTTATCAACTGATATTTGTTAAGTTATCATGACCTTTATTTAGTTCTTTATGAATGGGAATCTCACTACTTTTACAAGTAATTTCATTTACACATTTTAGAAAGCCCATACATCTTTAAATTTTCTATTACATTTCATGAGCCGAACAAGAGAGGTTTTTCCATTTTCCTTTAACCTGAAAGCTATTTAACTGATTTGCATTCCAACAAAGGGTTCATGATTATAGCTCCTATACAGAGGTACTTATAAGAACAAATTGTTTAAAACGGCCATCTAAACGAATTTTAAGGCCCGGTTATAAGATAGCTTTAAAATTAGCTTTTGTATTTTATTCACCAGCCCTAATGTAAGATGACCTAAATATGTTGATTAATTCTGCGTATAAAAATATTTCAGCTTTTGATTTAGTTTTGCATTCAGAAACGTGTTAAATCTTTTGACAACTTACTTTCTTTTAAGACAAAAGTTTTTTTTCCTTATGATTAAAGAGACAGCAATTTTCCTTCATTAAAACCATTAAGAAATTCACAGTCCTTCTGCCAGAAATTCCAGCTATCTATCCTGGTTTGGAAGTAGAATGTTCTGATATATATATAAGACGCACTTGCGTTTTGAAAACTTTTGCGAGATAAAAAAATATTTGATATGGATGTTACGGTGAAACACCGAAATCTGGAGAATATCGACTTTCACCGGTGAATGTCAACATTCACATACTAGTCGCTTGGTGTATGTCCGAAATATTTTCCAAATACTCTTATTTCTGACTTACACCGGTGCATGTCAATATTCACCATGTACTAATGGTGAATGTTGAACATATAAGAATATTATATTTTCTTCTCTGTAATTCATTCGCGAAAAAACGCACTTAAGACTCAGAATAAGAACTTAAAACACACAGTACATTCAAAATGAGAAAGGAAAATAATAGAAGCTATAAACGTACCAAGTTATATGATTCAAATCTTATTTATTGCAACAACTTAAACTATTATGACACTTTGAATTTCACAAGAGGCCCTTGCTTTTACAACTGTATTTATTTGTGGAACACTTCCTTTTGGAATGGCAGCGTGCACATATACTCCTCTCTTTTCGACCTACACCTGAGCATATCTGTGATTGTCGACATACACCGGTAAGGGTCTGTATGTACAAGAAGGTAAAGAAATATTCGATCTTTCACCGACGTATTTGGTGAATGTTGACATTCTCCGGTGAAAGTCGACATTCTCAAATTTCGGTCTTTCACGGTAACATGGACACCACATAATTTCCTTGTGCGGCCTATTAAATTATACACAATTTTTGCTGCACTTCATTTAAATTTACTTCCTCGAATGATTCTAACTTAATTAACGATCTCTGGAGGTAAGTTGGAAATGACGTCATAAATCACAAAATTTGAAATGAAATACCTCAGTTAGTTTTTGTCTTACGAGAATCAAACTTCTTATAATTTTATTTTTTCATACCAAATATAAAACTTTCTTAAATATAAGTTTTGGAACCAGGAGATCGCAATAAAAGTTAGATTTCTTCATTTGTTCCTTTTTTTTTTTTTTTTTTAATATTTGACATTGTATTGCCAAAACATGAATATTTTCGTCATTTAAAACACTTCTGTAATTGCAAGTATATGACTAAGACCAACTACTAAAAGCCGGATAAGAACTTTTAAACAGGGTAAGAGTATATAGAAAGAAGTAATATAATCGCAAAAAAATTCGAGTATAATATATCAACGGAAATATCCATTTTGACCTATGGCAAATCCATTTGGACAACCAAGATGAACACAGTATCGATCAATATTATATTAATTTGACGTACGTTAAAGCAAAATAAAAATCGTTAATTTTAATAATGCGGATAAAATATTAAAATCTATTTCTTTAACTAGCGTATTTTGTACTGTTGGGCAACCCTTTGTTTTGTAAATGCTAGTTGCTCAATTAGGTAATATTTCATGACTGAAATTTTAACGAAAGATATATCATCTTAATTTCGGGATAATATGGTTAGTAACAGAATGAGTTCCTTCTTTTTGCTGAATGGAAAACAGGTAGTTTAACGCGGGTTCGAATTCCGGCGAATAAGCAGGTTGCAAGAGAAGCTTCCATGGTTTTTTCCGCATGTGACGTCAATATGAGACAGTTTCATTCATAAAGTACTCCATGAAAGCATTCTTCGGCTAATCTTTGGAATATGGTAACAGGTAGTATGGCGACATTTTGGTAAGGCGATAAATGTTACTAGCTAGGACTTTAGCAGTGTGCATGGATAAAGTCAAGGGTGTGTGAAATTTGCGATTCTACACTTTCTCCCAATTTCGCACCTAATCTTCGTCATGATTAAGCACTTTTGTTCCATAAAAGTTCTAGCATAAGCGTAATTCGGCCAGCAGATTGTTGGAAAAAAATTTTGAGTAAAGAAAAAAAAAAAAAAAAAAAAAAAAAACTGATATGTACACCACATGACTTCCTTGTAGGGAATATTAAATTCTACGCATTTTTTCTTGCATTTTATTTAAACTTATTAGATTGAATTAAACCTATTTCGCCGACCCCGCATAAACCACAATAGAATAAATGCATTCTTTAAATTCACTTTTTTTACCCTAGCGACACTCTGGCGCTAGGTTTACTTAACAGTATTATATTTCCGTTCATATTATAACTCAGATGCACAAAATTTATATCATTTAAAGAATTAGCTAATCGTTGCCATATGTTCTATTCAAATACTATAATAAAGCTAGAACTATGTATTAAAGAAATTAAGCAAACAAAACAAAAAAGAAACAGTTTTCACAGACGATTGAGTATTTCTCATTCAATTAATTCAGTATTCACTTCGCGACAAGGCAAAAATACATAAAAACTCAAAATATCTGTATTAAAAAATACGAAGTAAATCTTAAACGCTTATTTCCTCGAAAAAATTCCAGAAAGGATTAAGCATGATTTAAATAATAAATGAAGGCGTTATCTTTGTTGTTGCAAAGCTAAGTTTCTCTAGATTGGCAACAAATCCGCTACTCAGCTGTTTGAAATGTAAACAAGAGCAATGGCCGCCATCAAATTAGGCTTAGCGGCACTTAAACAATTTTAAAATTATTGATAATTCTAAAAATATTGCATACAGATTTACTAAAGGCATAAAACCTTTAACCGGATGATAAAAACAACATAATCCAATCATTTTTAAAGGAAAAAATGTACAATTTTACAAACATATAAGAGTAAAGAAACTGAGATCACTGAGCAGGGTAACAGAGTGGATATATTTATAAATATATTTATATACGTTTGGCGCGGCCGATTGAAACCAAAATACGAGGTGCACATCTACTTGTTATAGGAGTTTTATATACAAAATTTCAACGTTCTGAGGCTACTCGTTTTTGTGTTATGCGAGATACATACGTACGCACGTACGTACATACGTTCGTACAGACGCGACGAAAAATTCTCTTCAGAATTCATTTTAAAGCAGTTATTTAGTTTTTTTGGAGGAAAAGAGTCTTTTAAAGCAGCATGCATGATATCTGTCCTTACGTACAGATATCATGCAAAAACATCCTTAAATTGCATTCGAAAGCGGTCAAAGCGGATATTTCCGTTGAAATATGCTGCTTGAAGCTTTTCGAGATTACAATACTTCCTTTTTACTTCGTACAAGGAAGTAAAAAAAACATGCCCTTACTTCGTGAAAATAAAATGGCGTCCAAACAAAAACTAGCAAGTTGCTGTTGCAGGGTTGGTCGCCAAAATTTCGCCGAAGAATCGCCAAGTTATCATAATCTAAAGATTAACCCATTCTTCTTCATATACTGATAGTACCACTTTGAATTTTAAACTATCCAGTCCAGGATTTCTTCCTGGATACGTTCATAATTTATGATAGGGATTTCATAATACGGTGGTTTACAATATTCGTACTACTGTATATTATACTTTAAATGACTGATGTTACCATTCTTTGCTGTTAAAAATATATATTATATCCTTAGATTTTTTTGTGTTTTTTTTGCTTTTTATCACGAAGTGCAAAGTTCTGTACGTTAAATATTAATATTCTTTTGTTGCAGTGACTGAGTTTTGTGAGTTTCCCGCCAGATGGACTGGTACCTGGTTTCAAACAGGGGTTCATCCGCCTATCAAGATACAGAAAGATATTTTCTCACTTAAAGGAAAATGTCTAGCTGCTGATAGTCACAAGTTTTTTATTGAAGACACGTAAGTAAACATATACTTAACGGGGGGGAGATATAATTAAAAAACGGTTATATTAACTGGTGAATGGATATTATTATAGTAATTTATGTGTTCCTGGCAGCAGATAGCCCTTGCGTAACCTTTCCCTAATTAAAATAAATTAACAACTGATTGGTTTATAAAGTATTTTTCCGGCTAATCTTTGGAATATGAACAGGTAGTTTGGCGACATTTTGGTAAGGTGATAAAGGTTACTAGCTAGGACGTTAGCAATAATCTGAGAAGTACACAGTTCCAATCACAGATTATTTTGTCTATTTAGAAATGAGAGATCATGAGACATGTCATGTGACATTTATTGGAATCAATCTTTAGAGTTCTTACAAAAGGGGGGGGGGAATTTACAAAAATATCTGGAGTACTTCATACCATTTTGTATGCTCAGCTTCATTCCATCTTGTATTTTGTGTAAAACAGTGTTTCTTAATATTTGGATCCCATGGCCCTCTCTAAAGTAAATTCCAAATTTTTATTGCATTTATGTGATCATCCAAAAGAGTTGCTTGAATAGTGTATGAGTACGGGATTAATTGCAGATAAGTATGAATGTCCAACATGTGGGAATGAAATGAGATTGTGTGAAAGGAAGGATATTACGGATAAGTTTGAATGCCAAATTTTCGCCAAAAAATCGCCAAGTTACCATAATGTACAGATTCACCATTTTTCCTCTTTGCACTTAATCAGTATGACTATTAATATTCTTTCAGTAACAAACCAGTGATCGACTACTTTGTAGATTATTAGAATATGAGGGTAAAATCCTAGTATACGGTGCAGCCTTGGCGCGATTTTGAAAATTATCGCCAACACCAAAAATTACCGAAAGAACGTCTATGTATATATAGTGATAGTATACTATACACTATATACTATCACTATATACATAGTATATACTATGTATAACTATATATATTCTTTGAATACCCGTTTACTACTCATCGTATATGTCCCGTTTTTACTGCTCATCATAAAAGTCGCCAAAAGTAGCTAAATCCCGTGTGCACCGGATACTAGGATTAAACCGAATATGAGTATTCATGCTTGCAGTATTCCAATAAAAATTCATCCATTTCTCATAGGCTTAATATATGGAGATTAAATGCAATAATTGCAACATGGTATCGCATAAAATGCAGTTAGTTTTCTAATGCAGGGTGAATCTAAATTATCTCAGTATCTAATGGATCAAAGTAATTTAATAAATCTAATCTCTCAATTAAAATGTTTGTTAATTATTTTAGTAATAAATCTAATTTTAATAATAATTTATTTTAATATTTATCTGAAACAGAAATGGAATTCCGGTTTATTTACGAAGCATTAAAGAAAGCAGTATTTAAAAAATTGAGAAGTTTATAAAAATGAATGAATGAAAAAGGCTTAATTAAAGTGGCTCTTATCCAACTCGCTAAATCATATTACAAAGCAAATGATCGCTGAAACATGTAGTTTTCTGGCTGTAATAACCCCTTACAGAATAAAATCAACAGTTTATTCTATGACTTACTGAATTAGAAAACTCAAAGTTTTGTTAAATCTTGCATCTCTGCTATCCAAATTAATATTTCATGGATTAGTAAGTAACTGCCGTGATGAGATCCGCAGAAGTTAATAATTTGACGCTACAGCTTGCTTCATTTATAACATATTAGGCAGTATCAATGATAGTAAAGAAATGTAAAACATCTGCACTTTATTACAATGTATGTGAAGAAGGATGCTAAACTGGGCTTTAAAATTGCGCAAAATTCAGCATTAGATTGGCTTTAGGAAGGAAGAATTTCGTAAGAATGTGACTTAAGTCTGTATTCTTCAAAGAGCAAAAAATATTATAGCAATTCAGGATCGTTTTGGCCAGAAATCTAAAAGCTCTATCTTGAAAGGAAAGTCTATCTCAAACATTCTACAAACTAGTTTAGATTCGGAGCCACTTCCATAAATGACGCCAAACATGTCACCAAGATTGCTACATTTCTGGAATCTGAAATCCTCAGACAGGTATATGGTTTACACTAGACATTTTAAAACACGTATCTTTGCGCCTTGATAAAAAAAGGAAGTAAGTTTTGTACCACTTACGTCTTACCATGAATTTCATCGCTGGAAATAAGCCCAATGTTATAGCATCATTATATTTGAAATTAAATTTATTTTTAATGGATTAAAGCGATATTTGCTTCGAAATAAAAACTCATATTTTAAATGGTACACTCTGCAACAAAAAAAAAAAAAAAAAAAAAAAAAGATATAGTAGTAAATCTCCCCGTTCTAACTGGGCCGATTGACTGACGAAATTTAATTTCCATTTTTTGAGTCTCGTAAACGCTACTTGGATAAACTTTATTAGATTTTATATATAGGATTGTTTTAACATAGTTATTTTGACACAAAATCGGACTTTTCTGAAATGACATACCGATTTTTCGTTTCCATATACCAATTCTACGACTCAAGTTATAAATATTTAATTCTGTAGAATCTGGTGAGAAACTTATAGAGAAATTGAAAAATTTATCTCTTCCGCACTTTATTCAGTTTTCATTTATTGACAACATTGTATTTTATATCTATTTTTGGCAGCAATAAAAGAAAATTCTGAACTTGGATTTGAAAACCAAATGTATGAGAAACTTCTATTGTGTAACAAAAATCCATCTTGGACAGGATTTACGTAAAATCCATTTTTAGTGAGCGTCCACATCGTGGAATGAGTAACTAATGCAAAATTTCAAGTCAAATCGAGTGTACAATTTCGGAGATCTCGTGATAAGTCAGTGGTACTTCGCTTTTATAAACATATGTTACCGTGAAAGACCGAAATTGGAGAATGTCGACTTTCACCGGAGAATGTCAACATTCACCAAATACGTCGATGAAAGAACGAATATTGCATTACATTCTTGTACATTCGGATTCTCACCGTTGTATGTCGACAGTCACAGATATGTTCTGGTGTAGGACCAAAAGAGAGGTCATAAAGTATCATAATAGTTTAAATTGTTGCAATAAATAAGATTTAAATCACATAATTTAGTAAGTTTTTTATTACTATTACTTTATTTTCTTATTTAGAACGTACTGTATAATTAAGTAAGTTTTTAACTTCTATTATTTTCCTTTCTCATTTTGAATGTACCGTGGGTTTTAAGTTCTTATATTCTTAAGTTCTTATTTGAACTTTTAAGTGCGTTTTTTCGCGACTACGGAGAAGAAAACATAATATTCTTATATGTTGAACATTCACCATTAGTACACGGTGAATGTCGACATTGTCCGGTGTAAGTCAGAAATAAGAGTATTTGGAAAATATTTCGGACATACACCAAGCGACTAGTATGTGAATGTTGACATTCACCGGTGAAAGTCGATATTCTCCAGATTTCGGTGTTTAACCGTAACATATACATGTTTCTGGCATCGTTAAAAAATGACAATACCTACAGCCATCAAATTTTGAACAACGTACTCCTTCGCCCGAACAAAGGCATTTGGAAGCCCGAATTTTGAATTTCCAATTTGTTTCATTACCATTTTGTGATTCATTACCATTTTCATTACCATTTTGTGATACCAGATTCATTACCATTTTGTGAATGAAGAATTCTTCAGGGCACTGTTCTGTTATCAGGACCGGGTACCGAAATATATGTATGTATGTGTATATTCATGTATGCATGTATATATGTAAGTACGAATGTATGCGTGTATGTATATATGTTACCGTGAAAGACCGAAATTGGAGAATGTCGACTTTCACCGGAGAATGTCAACATTCACCAAATACGTCGGGTGAAAGATCGAATATTTCTTTACATTCTTGTACATTCGGACCCTCCCCGGTGTATGTCGACAATCACAGATATGCTCTGGTGTAGGTCGAAAATAGAGGAGTATATGTACACGCTGCCATTCCAAAAGAAAGTGTTCCACAAACAAATACAGTTGTAAAAGCAGGGCCTCTTGTGCAATTCAAAGTGTCATAATAGTTCAAGTTGTTGCAATAAATAAGATTTGAATCACGTAATTTGGTAAGTTTATAACTTCTACTATTTTCCTTTCTCATTTTGAATGTACTGTGTGTTTTAAGTTCTTATATTCTTAAGTTCTTATTCTGAGTCTCAATTGCGTTTTTTCGCGAATGAATTACGGAGAAGGAAATGTAATATTCTTATATGTTCAATATTCACCATTAGTACATGGTGAATGTCGACATTCACCTGTGTAAGTCAGAAATAACAGTATTTGGAAAATATTTCGGACATACACCAAGCGACTAGGTGATTGTTGACATTCACCGGTGAAAGTCGACATTCTCCGGATTTCGGTGTTTCACCGTAACATATAGATTACAGTTTCGCAAGGTGCACGAGAGAAATGTCAAAGTCGTAATAATAAATACTAACAAAAAGGAAAGGGACTAAGTATTTTATAAAGTATTATGAAAACAGTATTTTTTGAGCAAAATGAATACACGTTTTTAACTATTCTTTAAATTTAACAAACTTTAAAAAAATGATGGGTATGTTTATCTCAGGAAAAAAATGTATATTTTCAGAAGATGTAATTATCTTATTATCCTGCCTCTTCTTGCATTTCCCATTGAGAATAAGTTCGAATTCCACTAAATTTATCTCTGATAATTACATTTAAAAAAATCTCGGAACAAAAAAGCCAAAAAATATAAATGATTTAAAAGTTTGAAATCTTTAGAAACGAAGTATAAAAATTTACTTTCCTTTTAAAATATGCAATATCTCTTCCAAGAATTAGAATTAGCTATTTTCTAAGACGCCATTTAGCCTCCAGGAACAAAAATGGCGTTTCGCTCATTCTTGAGGTTTTTTTCCTACATCCTAATCTAAAATCGATGAACCATAAAACTTGTTTACTGGCCGAGTAATGAAAACGGTTATTTGAACATTAAGGCGACTCAATTTTTCATTAAGTTTCTTAACTCG